AGGCACGGGCAGTCGGCGTGGACCAGGGGTGAATTCCGCTTCGGACACGGCCATGTGGATCACTGGGTGAAATGTGTACGTGAAAATATAAAGGGGATAAAAACCTGTGTTTATGTGTAACAAGTATTGCGACCTGGCAAGAGGATGGAGCTGGGTTCTGCCCGCTGGTGCCAAGCAATAGCACAAGAGGCAGTGGGTAGGAGCTGATGCCCAGGAAGTTTCTGCTGGATGTGAGGATGAACTTTTTCCCTGTGAGGATGGCAGAGCACTGGAATTGATTGTCCAGAGCGGGTGTGGAGTTTCCCTCACTGGGGGCATTCCAGAACCATCTGGACTCAATCCTGTGCCTTTGCTCAGGGATGGCCCTGCTTCAGCAGGGAGGTTGGACCAGATGACCCAGCTGTGTTTCCTTCCAAGCTGACCCATGCTGGAATTCTCAAAGGGTTTCCAACCATCTCCTGCTTCCAGAGGCAGCCCTGTGAACAGCAGCTTGGCCGGTCTAGCCATGGCCAGGATACCAGCCTGCCCTCATCCAGGGCTCCCATGTGAAATCCCTTCTGGCACCAGGGACCTCAACAAGTCTCTGAGAGCCTGACAGGGCAGGGCTGAGTGACTGCCGATGGCAGCCAAGGGCTCTCCATGGCACTGGAGCCATCCTGGTGCTGTGGTGTTGTGCAAACAGTTCCCATTGCTCCGAGAGGCTGGCTCAGGGGGAGGAGAGCAGGGAACTAACACACACCTGTTGCAACACTTCCCATCCAGGGCCTGTCAGCCCAGGGATTCTTAGCAGAGCAGGTTTTTGCTTTGTTTACGGGTGGTTAATGGGAACACGGTTCTTCCGCATTCCTTTGTGATTTGTGACCCTTGGAAGTTCAGCGTGGTTCCAGGTCTAACAGCTCTGTTCCCTGTGATTTGTTAGTTGTGCACACTGTCATCAAAGTACCTAGGATTTATTGAGAATGACAATATTTAGATACTGAGATTGAGTTTTCCACGAGAACAAGCTTCTGAGACCATGTTTTTGCTTGGTGGAGAGCAGCTTTGGCATGAGCTCTAACTTCTGTCAGACAGCAGAGAACCTACACCAGCGCTTCCCTGGAGGCTGAAGTCCACAGGAATTCAGGTTCTGCTTGCTAAAGCTCCCATGCCTGCAGAGTGAGTGAGGCTCCTCTTGATCTGCACCAAGACTGGTAATCACAGGTGCACAGTGCTGTGTTTTCTTCACTTTCCTCCTCCTAAATATTTTCAATAATATTTAGCTGTGACCCACTACACCTTGAAGATGTGTGGTGTATCAGCGCTCAGGTACTCACAGAAGTATTCAATTTTTTTCCTTCTGTCAAGTGCCTGGAGCACTCAGTGTGTGCTCAACAGCATTTTTGTAAATCCTGCACAGAGTACAGGTGGTTTCAGAGGAAAGGTGTGTATGCGCTCTGTTTGGTCTGACTGAATTTTTCTGTACAGTATAAGTAAAACTGAGCAAAACACTTGTTAGAATAGTGCTTTTTCACAGTATGGAGTCACTTGATGGCATGTAAACTATAAAATTTTGGCTATCTGAAGTTCAGCTGATGGCATGTTAGGACAACTTAGGAGTAAGATCACACTAACAAATGCTGGTTTCCATTGCTTTTGCTTTTATCAACTTTTAAACTGAAATTTTCCAAGTCAGAGGTCTCTGTGATGAGGAGGATGATATGCACTGAATTAGTCACTCATGATAACAGGGCCAGGAAAAATTCCAACTGCATTAGTGTAGAAAGGTGACTTTGGATCGGGATGAGCCCTTTGGCTGCTGAGGCTGGTGGTGTTAGAAGCCTTTGAGAAGCAGCAGCAGTCGGTCAGGCGCTTGTGGGCATTAATATCCCCAAAGTTTCCAGCCAGGCTGAGTGGGGAGAGCATCCCACAAGGCTGGACTTTTCCTGGAGGGATGCAGGTTCTTGGAGGCTCAGTTAAAGGATGTGGGGCAGAGGTGGCTGTGGATGGGTGGGGAAAAAGGGGCAGGAGAAGCTCTGCTGGCTGTACTGTGCCCTCCTCCAGCAGCAAAGCTCTCAATTTGCAGCTTCCAGCAGCCCTTTGTGGAGGGCAGCTGTTTGTCAGGGCTGCTGTGGGATGTTGGGATGCCGTGCTCCCCTCTGGCTCTGGGATGTGCCAGGGCTGAACATCTCCATGCAAGTGGCAGGGGGGTGATGGCAGTGGAAGACTGAAACCTTTCAGCTCTTCTGATGACCCTCTGCTGGCACCAGCATGGGGGAATTCCTCTTTCCTTGTGCTGCTTTTGAAGAAGATCCAAGTCTTGGGATTCCATACAAATCCTTCTGAAGCTTTCCCACTCCCTCGGATGCGCTGGGGTCAGCTCTCAGAAGTGAAGACAGTGGAACCCCAGTTGGATGCTGTCCTGGGGTTACAAAGCCCTCAACCTCCTGAAATTCATCATTTTCTCAATGATTTTATGGTTATGTTGGAAGTTGTGACATAAATGTTGAACTGAGGTTTCCAGTAGGATGAATAAGCATCCAGAGGAGTTGGAGACTGGAGCTGGGATGTGGAGTGCACTAACTGATTTTAACAGGACAAACCAAAGTGTTTTGCATCTTAATTCCTAGGCAAAATTAATGCCTAGGAATGGACTTTCTAATATATCAACTGTTTGCTGACACTCTGCCTGGACTTAGAGTGCGTTTGGAAAGTGTTTTGTGATAAATTGTTTGGGCTGTTAAACAGAGAGATCAATAATACTTGGAGTTGTGAGTTTCTCTGGTGCCCAAAAGCAGGTATTAGAGACCAGTCCTCAGCTATCCATTACTTGAAAACTCTAAATTAGTTTGTATTTTCAGGGATCCCTTCACACCAGAAGGAGCTGTTTGCTTTAATTTTTTCCTCCCCACTCTCTTATGAAAGAAAGGAGAATAAAGAAATACTGAGTGTACATAGCATATTGTTTTAACATACTGTACAAAACCAAAAATAATCACTAAAAAAGCATTGCAAGCTGTCTGGAGGCCAGCTTTGATCACGAGGAACCCCAAAGTGTGTGTAAACTTGAACTGTTATTCGGTTATATCAGCTGAGATCCACTTGGACATCCACTGGCACAAGTGGCTCTTAGGGACACTTGGAGCAGCTCAAGCAAGAAGCTGAAATTTTATTTAATTTTTTTAAATTTACTTTGGTTTTTTTGGTCTCCTGTTTTGTACCTCCTTCTCCAGGGAGCTTCTGCCTCGATGCAACCAAGATCTCTTACCTGTAATTCTTCTCCTAAAATTTAAATCTCCAGTTTTCTCAGGTCATTCCCCATTGGATAATTGCTGTTGTTACACCCTCGGCAAAGGAAAAAAAGATGAATTTTGGGGATGGTTAGCTCAGCACTTGGAGGCTGTTTTGGGCTGGGGTTGGATGTGTCTGGTGGTACAGTTTGGTGCTGCTGTGAGGTGTGGACACGTCAAGGGTGTCCCCTCTTGTCCCCCTCCTGCCGCTGCTGGCAGCTCAGAGCTGACTGGGCCCAAAGCTCACCCCACCAAAACGTGAAGGATTCTTTCTGAGTGTTTAGCCCCCTGTGGGATCAGGTGGAAAACGGAAAGGGAAGAATAAATGCACAAAAGAGGGCTGGGGAGCTGGACCGGCCTCTTGGCTTTGGTTCTTGGGTGGGCATGGTGCTGTCAGTTATTTCCTGCCATGCTGGATTTCTTCTCTGGGTTTAATCTCTTCCTCTCCCCACTGCTGGTTTAAAGGTGTTTCAAGGCACTTTTCCTCACAGGAGTTATTTTCCATGCCTTTCTCCTTTTGGTTCCCTCGCTTTCCTCTTTTAACTGGTGATGAGAGGCAGAAAAACAGAGGAGGACAGCGAATGGAGGGAAGTGGAAATGAAGGGGAAGAAAGAACAAATTTCCATATTCTTTGTCCTGATTTGTTAGGGTTCATGCTGTATTTTCAGTCGAGGAGGTTAAGTTTTGTCTTCTGGGTTTGATGAAGGCTCAGGAGTGTGTAAGGAAATGATGTTTTCATCTGCTCCTCACAATCAGCTCTCAGCACAGAATCAAAGGCCGCTGTGCTCTCAGAAGTGTTTCACTTCGAATGGAAAAGAAAATAAAGCTGCAGCACTTCCAAAAGTGCGGATGCATTCCTGAAAATCTTTCAGGGGGTCGTGTGGCTCTGCTCCTTCAACTCTTGCTACGAGTTTGATTTAAAATGACCTCCTAAATCTGTTAGGAGTCTTGCAAAGAGGCTCGTTCTGCCTGGCCCTGGGTGGAAACCACACAAAGGCACCGAGCTCTGCAGGAATTCCTGCAGGAGCCAGAGCTGCTGGCATGTGCACAGGAAAGGGTGCATAAATCTGAAATTGTGGTTTGTGACACGCCTCCATCCACTTCTTTTTTTCCAGTTAGGTAAATCAACTTAACCTGACTCTGCAGGAGAAGGAATGCCGCTCACCTGCATAATTAATATTTTGGTAAATAGAACAGTGTCCTCCCAGAATTCCAGGTGTTTTCAGTGTGAGCAGGGAGAGTGTCAGGGCTGAAAGGGTCAGAGATCCTGCTGGGAGAGAGCCCCTGGAATGTGCTGACCCTGGTGTCACGTTCACCCTGTGCCCCTTGCTCCTCTTGAGCTGCAAGACTAAAAAATAAATAAAAAGCTTTTATATAGAGAGAGAAATATGGCTAGTCTTATTCCAAAATAATTCCAAATATATTATTCTGGAATTACACACTTAGATACTGGATAGAATTAAAATTATGTAAATTGTGCTGTTAAATGGCTGCCTTTTTACTAAGTGAAGGAAACTTGTTTGGTAGAGCTGCCTTGATAGATTTCAGAATGACAGGCTCCACATCAACTTAATAACATGCAAGCAAGGGTACAAATTTATCATCTCTGCTAATTGCAAGTGTGTTGTTTTTATACTGCCATCTAGGCCTCAGCCCCTGTTGGAGACCTGTTCTGTTTGGCACTGCAGAGGGGCTTGATAAAGGATATTCTGCTCCTTAGAAGTTTAATAAAGGATATTTTGCTGTTCATGTGTGTAGAAAAGAGAAAGGCAAACACCTGCAGGAGAACAGGCTTCCTTCACCTGTTGTAAATCAGGCTGTGATTAGAACAGATCTTCCTCAGGAATGTGTTGGAACGGGGATTAATATGCCAAATTTTGGGCTTTAATTCTGTGCTGTCCCATGAGTGAACTTCACTGTTTTATGGGGAAACACAAAGTTTCACCTATATTGCCATCCAGAATATTGGAAAACTCTCTACAAATGATCTGACGAATACTGTCTACAAATGATCAGATGGAAAATATCTCCTAAATTATAGGTAGATTTTAGCTCTGTGTGTATCTGTTAAGATCACAACTTTATTGCCAATATTCAAAATAATTTGCTTGAACATGTCTGTCTCAGTTTTCAGTTTTCCTTTTCAGTTTTTTTTTCTCATAACCTGCATTTTTATTCATGTTTGGAAGAGTTGTTCATATTCCTTCCTGTGCGTGAAAGAAAAGCACATGGAACAAGGAAAAAATTTTGGATGTGATGAGGCTATGTTGAGAGCTTTGTTAAATAGTTGGGATAAACAACAGGGGTAGTAGTATTTTTTAAATGAAATTTCTTATAGTTAGCGTGGTATTATTGCATTTATCAACTGTTACTGATGTGTTTAGATCTATCATTAATTAATTTGATTTTTTTTTTTTAAACCTCAGCCAGGTTATTCTGATCAATCCCAAAAGCACCCCTCAAAATGCCAGAAAATCCAGCAGCAGGTAGGTGGTCTGGAAATGATTCTTTTTGCTGAGCACTGAGCCAAGCAGCTCCGTTCCTAACCTGGCCTTGTCTGTGGTGCAGATAAGCAGCAGGTGCTGCAGATCCTGGATCGGCTGCAGGCGAAGCTGCAGGAGAAAAGGGATTCCCAGCACCAGGAAAACCTGGCTGTCCTCAGGAACACCCTCAGGAGCCCCCTGTTCAACCAGATCCTGACTCTCCAGCAGTCCATCAAGCAGCTGAAGGAGCAAGTGAGTGTGAAATTGCTGCAGTTGGTGTGGTGGTGACTCTGGGCCAGGGGAGCTTGGATCCGTGTGTGTAGGCGTGTGTTAACGAGGGCGCTCTCGTTAATAAGCTGTAACCTGGTGCTAGTGAGTGTTGGGCCTATTTTTAATTCTGTGTCTGCAGAGGCACTGCTGAAATGACAAGTGGTTTTGCAACCAGGAGGTCATGGGGCAGCATGCTTTGAAAGGGATGCAGGACAGGCGGGGTTGTGTTGGAAAAAAACATCTGCAAAAGACATCAGCTCCAGTGTTTGGAGTCCTGAGCAGTGTTGGAACTGGGATCCTTTGTTTTTCACTGCAGCTAAGTGCTGTTTATCAGCCCACTGGCAGCATTTTTTCCTCCCTAAAAGACAGCATTGCTTAGTTCCTGCTAATTTTTATAAGAATGCTTAACCTGCTTTGGCAAGTAACGTGTAGAAAACGCAGCCTGAAGATTTGCCAGGCTCTGATGCAGCTGTGCCCAAGCGAGTTTTAAAATGACTTGGCTTCAGCAGAGGTTGGAACTCGTGTGGTTTGGTTTGTGAAGCCAAGTGACACTTGATTTTGTGCATATGGGCATGGACAGGTCTCACCCTGCAGCTAAGTTAAAATCATCAGCAAACTGAAAACCAGGGAGTGACCAGCAAGGTGGGTGTCAGGGGGACAAAGGTGTCCCTTGCCAGGTGTATTGCAGGTGCACCTGGCCTGGTGGTGGCTGTGCCATTCATTATCCATCCTTCCTGAGTTCCCAGAGGTGCTGCATCCCTTCCTTCCAAGGCTTGGATGCATGCCTGCAGGCTGTTAAACACGTGTATGAAAATGCAAATGTCTCCAAGAAGTGGCTGTGACATAGTGGGGTTTGTATTTGGAATGTTCAGGATCCTCGTATCTAGAAAATTTGGGTTTTCTTGAAATTCTGTGTAAGCATGGGCAGCTTCATTCAGGATGGGATTTTCCAGTTTGTTTTGTCACACTGGGAATATTTTTCATTTCTTCATTATCAGTGAGGACTAGAAGTGCAAGTTCCAGCGGCGATAACATGTTCAGTGGTAGTTTGTACCCTAGGCTCTCCTTGGGGGGGGGATAATACAAACCAGGCCTCAGGCTCCTGAATGACTCAAAACACTTGAATTTTTGTGCCAAAAGTTTTATACAGGTTTCCCTAACAGTTGCAGCAGTGCTTGAGAGCCTCTTTAGGGTTTGGTGCTTTTGCATGTGTTGTTTCTGGAATACCAGGGTGAAAAGAGGGTAAAGGGCAGAGGAGAAGCATGAAAGAAACAGAGAAAAATGAGAGGAATAGAAACACAGCTGAAACATTCAGGCAACTCCTGAAAAACATTTTATATGGTAGCTTGGTTAGAGATTATGTATTAACACTGCCTGATTTATACAGGTGACTATATTTGTGTGAATGGGCAAATATGAACACTGGGGTTTTTTTGCTCCTTGGGCAGCCTGCACATAAAATGGTGTTTGTGGAAAGCCCTTCTTTTGTTTTCAGTAGCTGTCCCACACCTCTGCTCATTTTCTACAGCTCAATTACATGCCTCCCGACCGCTCGGTGGATTTTGATTTTACCAAGAGGGGGCTGTTGGTGTTTGCTGACAAATCAGTCACTGCTGGGACACCTTGCACTTCACCTGCACCCAGAGCATCAGCCTTCACTCCAAACCTGCCAGTTAATGAATTTAACATGATCATCCAGCAAATGGCAAAGGTAAGGCTCCAAGGTTTAGTGAACCAAACATTTTTTCATTTTTGAGCATTTCACGCTGCTTTTTTTGTTGTGTGTCTGGAAGTTTGGTGCCTCCTAACCAGGAGAGAGTAGAAGTGTTGAGAACTTTTCCCTTTGGAAGATAATGTCAGCAATAGGAAGTGGCTTGGTGGCTTGTTTTGTTTTTTTAACTTCCATTGCCAATTTTTTGTTTTACTTTCTACCAAACACACCAACGTAGTAAGGAAGTTTCAGCTGCCAGAAAACATTTTTGGTATTTGATGACACTTAATTGAAAATGGACATTTTCAGCAGAAAGTTGTTTTGATGGAGGCACTTGTTTATCAAGTACATTTTAAATTGGAAATGTACCAACTTTATGAGCAGTGCAAAGGATTAAAGAACCTAGCATGCAATATTTTATTTAACTCTTTATTTAGTATGTCTTAACATTGCCAGGCAGATGCAGATGTACCAAATTCCTTAAGAATTTGTACAGGTGCAGACATCTACCCATCTGGGATTGGCATTTATACCACAAATGTATTGTTCTGTGTTATTTTGAGCCATTAATTTAATTGCTTAGTCATGCCTTTCTGTATTAAGTAACTGTTGCTAATTGACTACCTTAATGTAGCTGTAATATTTTGAGCATTACTCTTCTCATTAGTGTGTCATTAACTCATCAGAGATAAGATTTAGCAGTAAAGGCTGCACCTTATTTGGAATAAAAGAGCTGTGATAGCAGTGCATTCTCCCAGTAATATTTCCCAGTAAACAACCCCAGCAATTTTATATTAGAACTGAAAAACAGGCAGTTGCAAAAACGAACTTTTTTTAGCATTAAGTGTGAAGCTGCAGGGAGGGCGAGGAAATTAATTTCTTTATTTAAAAGCTGCAGCTTTTTGAATGCACACCTAAAAATCAGCGTTAAAAGCAAGGGGAGCCAAAAGACAAGTAATTTAGTTTAGCTATACAGCATTTCCAGAAATCCCAAATATATTGCTCTAGACAGCACTTCGTTCATAGTTTTCATCCAGTTTGGAATTCATCTCATAATGTGAATGAAGTGTGAAAGCAGCTCTTAAATTCCCTGAGGTTTCAGAACCTCGGAGTGCTTGCATATCCAATACATTGCCATATTAAAAATAATAAATGGAGGAGCTTTTATAGAAATAGCATATTCAGTATTTTGCCTTTGTTTAGTCTTAGGAGGGGAATAATTCTCCCAGCATTCATAAATTTTCAACTATTTCATTCTGTTGCATTGAAAATTAGTAAATCGTTTTATCTTCTGTTTTATTAGGGGAGACAAATAGAATCAATAACGATTGATAAACCTTCTGTTGGAGGGCTTGGATTCAGCGTGGTTGCCCTTAAAAATCCCAGCCTGGGAGAAGTTGGTATCTTTGTCAAGGAAGTCCAGCCAGGAAGCATAGCTGACAGGTGAGATCTTCATAATTGTGTTGGAAAATTGTATTTTCCGTGGAGGGAAAAGTCATGACCTTCAGGTTGAAAACTCAATCAGAATAACATGTTTGTCTGGGTTATCTGGTGGGATATTTTGGTGGTGGTATCTTGATTTCTGGCTTTTCAGCTGAAAGGGACTCATGTTTTGAGGATCAGGTTTTCAGATGAGTTTTAAATTTCCGAGCCGTTCTTAAATGGAATTTCCAGAAATCATGACTCACTTTGCAGAATCTTGAGTCCTGATTAAAAAACCAAAAGAAAACTCAGAAAAGACTACAAAGAAAATAAAAATTAGATTCCGTTTTAATTTTTGTGCATTGTGTCCCTGAAAGTATTTTTTTCCTTTATTTATGTGCCTCTGACAATGCCCTATTTATAGTTGGTTTTACTGTTTGTTTCCTGTGTAAATTTAGATCCACTCCTCCCAACAGATCCCTGCACAGATGTCATCCTAGAATCGAGGCTTCAGGCAGTTTCTTCCTGTATTGTCTGTGGGTTTTCACCCAACAACAAAAGACAGAGCAATCCTTTAAAAATAAAACGCGATTGTAAAACCGCAAGAGTTGGCATGAGACAAACGCAGTGCTTGGAATTATGTCTCAGGAAAAATGTGTCTAGATTTCAAGTCATTGGTGTCACTTTTTAAATAACACATGTCAGGAAGTGCCAACGCAGGATGACAAAAAGAGTGGGGAGAGGTTGGAATGATAATGGCGATGGGCCCGCGGAGAACACACCAGAGAACACTTAAAGAAAAGCATATTAAGGCTCTTTCAAAGTGGAGACAGATGGACTGATCCGGATGTCAGAGGAGGGTGAATATCTCACTTTAGGATTTGATGACCTGCTGCTCACTTTCTTTGATGAGAGAATCTGAAATATGGTTAGTGCTCGAAGAAAGTGATTTCTGGGAAACGTCTTAAACGTGGCACGACAAAAAGGAAGTTTCAAATGCCTTAGTTAAGATGTGCAGTTACATTGTTTGGGAGTTTATAAATTTCCCCAGCATGCTTCCCATTTTGCTTCTGAGACAAGATCTCCTGGAGACTTTTTTGGATTCCTACAGAGCTTTGAAGGCAGTGTCTGTCTATGTAACAGTTTGGTCTCGTGCTCAGAATGAATATTTAACAAAGGAGATGAGTGATGGTTTCTCTCTTGTCACAAATCTAAATTCATCACTGGGGTGAATTAACTGTGAAATTTATATTATCTCAAGGTAGCAACTGAACTGCGTGTTGCTCCAAGAAAGTTTCACGTCTGGAGCTTGATACTATAAATTTTAAGTAAAATAGAAATATGCAGCACATCAATCTTTAAAATAAATAGTGATACAAAACAGCATCAAAGCCTGAGTTGTGGGTTCTTAGACATGGTATCATGTAGTGCTAAACATAATGCAGAATAGTTCCTAGTTCATTGTGTAACTACGAAAATACTTTTTTCTGCTTTGCAGTTCAGTATCATCAAGAAAGTATAAGGGAATTGCAAATAAATTTTGCACAGAAGCAAAGTAAAGAACTGAGCAAATTTCTGTGCCATGGCAAAGCTGGAGCAAAATGTGGCTGGGCAGTTTGGGGCAGTGTGGGTGGAATGGAGTGTGTAAGCTGGTGAAGGCACCCTAACAAGCAGATTTTTAAAGCACATAAACATTTAACCTTGCAGGGCTGCGTGTTTTTCCTGTTCACATTTCAGTCACAGGAGCCTGACGTGAAGTCACTGTGCTGCATTAAAAAATTGCTTTCAATGTTTTGTTAAGGGATCAAAGACTGAGGGAAAATGACCACATACTGGCCATTAATTGCACGCCATTGGATCAGAACATTTCCCATCAGCACGCCATTGCCCTCCTCCAGCAATCCACAGGATCCCTGCATCTGGTGGTGGCTCGGGAGCCACTTCAAGGGAACAGCAGAGCTGCCTTGTTCAGTGATGTAAATCCACCTGAGACTGTGAGTTCTTGCAATACTGTCCAAATCAGATTTCGAGCTGGGCTGGATTTTTGTTTTTTTAATTTTTTTTTCACCCATGGCTCTGAAGGGTTTGTGTTAGCAAGGGGGGTTTTTTCCTTTAATCAGATTTTGTGTGTGATGACATTTCATTTAGAGTCACCGTGCAGTAAGCACAGAGCTTCCATTGCAAAGCTGCGTGGTGGAGTTGTTATAAAACAGATCCTGGGTTTTTGTGGGATAGCAGAAGCTTTAGTGGATCACCATATTCTTATCAGCAGGGTCTGTTCAGCACAGGCTGATTGGAGCATTTTATGAGAATACCCAGCTGAAACCCACTTGTGCTCAGCAATTAAAGATGCTCTGATTACCTCTTAAAAGAGAGTAAACATAACCTGCCATGAGCGCTGCTTGGAACAGCCCGACCAATTTAAACTGGCACTGCTCACACCAAAAAAACTTGTCTTTGTTTTAAAAAACAAACACAATTTATCTGTTAAAGAACCTCTCAATCCCTGTTTATTTATCAGATTGGATTTTTTTTGGTTTTCTGGTTTTTTTTCCATCTGCAAATTTCAGTGATTGGGAAGCCTTTTGTTTTTGTGACAAAGGAGAGCTTGTCACTGGGACATGTAATAAAGCAGGGCTGAACTTCCATCTGTGTTCCACCCATATGGTCCAGGTGGCTTCCCTGAATTCGGACAAACTGCACACCTAAATCCAGAGATTGCAATATTGGAATCTGAATTTATTATGCCAGTAGATTTTGGTGAAAATCTGGGTAAAAGCAGTGTTTTTCCTTATTCTTAGCAATTATTTCCCTCGTGATTATTACAGAGGTAGTGAAATCTGAAGGTTTTAGTGGATAATCAATATTGTTTATTGCGCTGAAAATTTTAAAGAATTAAATTTTAACTGCTTTTTCATTGAAAGATCTGCACTGAACAGACTAACAAAATAAAATACAAATATATATCTCTGCAGGGGGTCTTTAAACTTCTTTTATGATATTTAACTGGCTTTGGCAAAGATTTTCAGTATGCTAATAAATCCTTTATTCGCAGAAGACTTAAATCTGCCTACTTTGCTCCATTTGGGCCTGTATGAGATATTAATCTGACAGAAACATTGGCTGGGTTTGGGTTGCTTAACAGCTTTGTTATTTTCAGATTGTCTTGTAGAACATAAGGTCATGGTGGAGTGTAGTTTAGAAATTTGCTTCCAATCCAGTATGGCAGAATATTGTGCTGTGCTATTAATTCAGTGCTGAATGGGGGTGTTCAGAGTGTGTAAGTGAAATAACAGAAACGAGAATTTGGGCAAGGCTGAGTGGAAACCGGGCCAGTGCAAGCTCCTTGCCTCTGTTTTTCCCTCTTGTTTGCAGTACTCTGGATTTATGAAAAACCAAAAGGATGCTTTTCATTTTGGCAGGAAAACCTTAAAATTGCTTTTTCTTAGTCAAGCTTTTTTTTTTTTTTTTCCTGGTATCCTGTTACCCTGAGAGTGGAGGACAGAAATGTGTGTTCAAAAACAGATGAGAGAAATCCCACTGCGTGTTTATGAGGAAATGGAGCTGAGTGAACAGAATCCCACAGATCCTCCAGCCTGTGGGGTGGAGACAGAAAACTGCTCTGATTAATTCTCCTCCTCCTCCTCCCCGCTGCACGTGAAACGTTAACAATCAAAATGGTCAAAATTAAAATCTCCTGTTTTTATTAATTGCAGATTCACTGGGGCCACGTCGAAGACGTTGAGCTGATTAACGATGGCTCAGGATTAGGCTTTGGAATTGTAGGAGGAAAGTCGAGTGGAGTAGTTGTAAGAACAATTGTTCCTGGGGGATTAGCAGATCGGGTAATTTGTTATATTATGTCACTTCTTGTTTGATTGCAAAGTGTAATTAACCGCTTCTGACAGTCTTAAAACAAACTAATATACTTCAACAAAAGGAAGCTGGTAGCATCAAAGTCTGAATGCCAGCACGTGCTTCATAAATAAATAAAGGTTGAAGGTATGATTGAGGAAAAAGTCAGCACCTGATATAAATTAAGCTGTTCCTCAGACAAGATTTGGCTTTTGTAACATTGTTGAACGTGCAAAAATTCTGAGAAGTTGCCTGATATTTGGCACATTTTGCAACATCTATGGGGACAAACTCTCCAAGTGAATTGTCAGACAAGAAAATCTGCCCTCCCAAAGTCACTGCAATGCAGGATTCAGTTTAGAGATTGAAAATGTCCTATTTTCAGTGGGTTTCAAGATTTGGCTTTTGTGACATTGTTGAGCATGCAAAAATTCTGAAAAGTTGCCTGATATTTGGTATTTTCAGCCCTTGGTCAGTCTGGGGCAGGACAAATTCTCTGTAGAATTTGGCACATTTTGCAACACCCCTGGGGACAAACTCTCCAAGTGAATTGTCAGGCAAGAAAATCTGCCCAGCCAAGGTCACTGCAATGCAGGATTCAGTTTAGAGATTGAAAATGTCCTATTTTCAGTGGAGGGGGGTTTGACCCCTGCCTTACAGCCTGACCCGTGAAGTTGCACAGGCACAGTTTGCACCCCTGATTGTTTGTCTTTAGAGACTCAGTGCTGATCAGTGTTGCATTTCAGGACTAGAACACTTGCAGTAACCAGACAGATTCAGATTTTTCAATCAAATTTGGTCCTGATGAGTTAAAATATCTGAGGAACAGAACCCCTGCAGACAAAAGAGAGGCAAGATTACTTCTTCTAGTACAGGATGGAATAAAAGCTGGGAATTTGGAGAGCTTTATTGGAAAATGTTGGCTTTTTCTCAACCATCTCCCTCTGAACCTGCCACATATAAATGAGTATATTTTAATTTTTTGTCTAGCACCTGTTTTGCTGTAAGGAATAAAGTGTTTTGGCTATGAAGCATATAAGCTAAGAACTCACCACATCATTCTCAGCTGAATGAGACATCATTAAGAACATGTGAAATAATGAGGCATGTACATGTTAAAATTGGATGAGTTTGTAAATGAGTTTGAGTTGGTTCTGGGAATAACTCTGAGATTGCTGTATAAATCAGTGCACCAAAGGTGGTGGAGCTGTGCTGATCAACACCAGCTGAGAATTTGGTGCTAGAAGTTCCTGCTTGTGATGGGAACGGTGATGTAGGTCATGAATCAAAATTATCAGGTAAAAAATGGATTCTGTGGAGTCTTGTTACCTGCAGTGGATTTACTCACTGAAGTTGGAGAATATAGAAGTATGAGGGAAGAACTCTGTAAAAAACTCCTAAATCAGAATGCTGTGCTTATATTCCAACTCCTACCTGACGAGGAGTATTCTGTGAAACAGAACACACAGCAATCTGTGAGATTATAAAACATTGTTGCTGCCTGTTTTCTCCTAAATGAGCAAAACAGTGGGAAAAACAGCCCATAACTGTGCAAGCGAGTCCTTGAGTTGTTTAAAATGTTGCCACGGTGGTCATTTTTCCTGGCCTTTTCTCACATCGGTTCTCATGGCCATCCATGTGAGGATGCCCCTGTGCACAGTCTGGGCTTTGTGATGGAACAGATACTTTGAGCACGGACTGGAAACACTTTTTGCCATTTGGTTTGTGTTTGAAGGACGGCAGGCTGCAGACAGGAGACCACATCCTGCAGATTGGAGGGACCAACGTGCAGGGCATGAGCAGTGAGCAGGTGGCCCAAGTGCTCAGGAACTGTGGGAATTCCGTCAGGATGATCGTGGCCAGGGAGCCCAAGTGTGAATTCATGGAGGCTCCCCCAGCTCCCCTCAGCTGGCCAGTCAGCACACTGCCTTCCCTTCCAAATGGAAATGTGAGTATCTGCTGCTTCCCTGGGACGTTTTTAAGTGTGTTTGTGGCTTGTGATCAGAAAGGAAGGAGAGAACAGAGAGTTCTTGGGCCCTAAAGTGCTTCTCCTCTCTTGAGTTTCCAGATATATGCTGTGTTTAAGTGGTCATTATTGCAGCCCTGCCTTCTATAACTTTCCCCTTTTTCCTCTATCTTATTAATACCTATAATCTTGGGATTGGAATGACCAGCTTTACAGAATTTATTTCAGAGTGGCTGATTTAATTACCAAGACCATAAACGTTATCGATAAGTGGTACTTTCAGTTCTTCTTTTTAGCTCCTTGCATTTTTTCTAATCAATCATTTGTAAGTGGATTTAAAACTGGACTGTGAATTTCCCTAAGTCTGAAATCCAGAGAGCCACACCAGAATTATTCAGCACAATCATCTTTTTATGAAACATAAGTGTAATGTTTTCATAGTCTACGCTACTGCCTGTGATAGGAAATATATCTAAAAATTTTGAAACTTGTTTTAGCAAATCTTATCATGGTCATATCAAAGTCTCTTGTTTTTGAAGTCATTCTTTTCAGTTTTGAGTAATTAAAATCAACAAATGCTACACTAAGTGTACAGTAGGTCTCGAAACATAAACAAAGCTGTGCTTGTGTACCATCTGCTGCTACTGTGCTGCTTAGATTTAGGTGTAGAATCTGAGTAGCCTTTTCTTTCTTGTTTGGTTTCTTGAATATGAGTGGAGAGAGCTGGGTTGTTTTTTTGATTTGTTGGTTTTTTGGTTTTTTTTTTGAAGCACTGTTTTTAAGGGTGAGAGTAGAAGTCACTTTGCTCCGAACTCGCCCCTTTGCTCGCTGGGCACAGTCACTGCAGAGGCAGATTTGTGTTTTACACCGCTGGGAAAATGCTGTGGCTGTGTCAGGCAAGGATTTTGGGTCCTCCTCCAGCTCCTTTTCCCCCCAGGGCTCCCCAGGAGGGATCAGGGCAGTGTCCAGGAGATGGGAGGGCTGATCTGCATCCCTGAGGCTGCAGTCTGAACACTGGGATTGTCCAATATTTGAGAATAGTCTCTCCAAGGGAATCATCGTTGTTATGAGGTCCTTCTTTCCTGACTGGATCATATTTTCCAGGGCCCATATTAGGGGAAAATTAAATTTATTTTTTTGGTAGTGGTCATAGTTTTGTTTCCTCCTCACAATTCTGTTTTTCTCTCTTCCTGTTGCCACTGATCAGCCCTGAGCACTGTAAATGCTGCAGCTTTTCTAAAATGGGATTCTTTCCCAGCGTCTTTTCAGTGTCCTTCTTGTTCCTGCTATGCAGTTTAGAGGGGAAAAAAATAATTTTCTGAACTAAATAGTGCCTTCATGTGTAGATCTGAAGAAACTCCTCTTCCTGGTGCCAGGAGAAATTTGCAAAGACAGGATTAGTTGTTAATCTGAATGTATTTATTAGTTTAGTGATGATTTCAATGGTCCACCATTCAGTTTGTGTCAGATTTATAATGGAACTTATCCCTCTAATCTAGTTTTTCTCTGGTTTATGAGTGCTTTCACTAGCTGTGAGCTTTGGAGTGGAAAATATTTTCCTTTTCTCTTTTTTGCAAACCAGCAGAAAGCCATTTTTAATAGGTGGTCAGTTATTTTCAGTTTTATATTCATATTTAATTTTCTTTGAATTTCCTGTGGTAGAGAATAACTGAAACCACTTCTGTGTGTGGGCATAAGAAAACAATCTTATTATCTGTACTGTCCAAAATAGTGACAGCAGAGTGCAGCCAACTTGTGCTGACTGTATTTAGGACTTTGCACTTTGATTTTTCTGGACTTCATTTCAATTATTTTGCATGCTAGCAGGAGTGTCACTTAGAGAGAGATGTTTGCAGCCAGAGCAGTGACTCTGAGGAGTTTTGATGGTGAAAACAGCTCCTGCAGGCTCTCAAGGCCACAGCTCCATTCCAGGGGCGGCTCTGGGCTTGTTTGCTGTGGATAAGTGACAGCACCCAAACTTATCTTCATCCCCATCAGCCTCGTGTGGAGTGAGGCACTTGGAAGGCATTTAATGAGCTTAATGAGTGTGCTGCTGGAGGGAGGTGTGTGAGATGAGGAGATAGTGCCCATCGATTTCCCTCCATTGAGGAGTGAAATGGGTATGGCTGCTTCTCATATGGGTCCTTGCAAAGCTGATGCTTGGCAAGCATTTGATTGAACTTCTCTTTTTTCACTCCCTTATGAAATGTTTTCCATTTTCCCAGTCCCTTTTTTTGCTGTTGGCAGCGACAGGATCCCTCTTGATTTCATCACTTTAACAGACCTTACTCTCATCATCTTCTTTTTGATCTCATTGCTCTGTATCTGATTACAGAAAGAAAACAACTCTATGTATTTCAATTTATCCCTTGCAATCCCACATTTATGTGCTTGATTGTTTTTCTCTTTTGGTCTCACCAGTGTCTTTACTGTTCCCTGTTTGAACTCTTGCCTTGCAGTTCTGATTTTTACTGCTCACAGGAGAGTTGCACAGACATCCCAGGGCCAGCTTTGTAGTGACTTTACAAATGAATTTACATTGCATTTAAACAAAAGGAAAAACAAAATCAGTTCTCACTTCTGAAGGTCTTAATTAACCTGCTATATTGCAATGGCATGGGAAATTATGAGAATTTTTTACTAACTTGTGCTTTATTTATAGGATAATGACAACTTCTTTGACACCTATGACGTTGAACTTATAAAAAAGAATGGGCAAAGCCTGGGAATAACAATTGTTGGATATGCTGGCACATGTGATCTAGGTGAGTTGTACAGGATTTAGGAAAATATTGGACAGGGGCTTCTCAAATACCCTTTATTGACCATGGGGAAAATGAATGGCTCCTGCCTGTGCTAGGGTATGGAGACATTAAATTCACTGGAATTACAGATCAGCATCTTGTATTTAGTGGGAGTTTGTGAAAGGGAAGTGTTAGTGTTTCAGGGTTTTTTGATTTTTTTTCTTTGTTTTTATTTCCTTGTTCTCATTGGGAGTTAGAACTAATAATCAAACTGCAAACATGACAAAGGACAGCTTTTCTGATTTCCATGTTTCTCTTCTCTTTTCTTTTTTTTTTTTTTTTTAAGAAAAAATCCTTTTTCATTAAGATTTAAATTACTAAATTCTTTAGCTGTAAGATGATTGAAGTCCTGATCAAAGTCCTTAAGCACATACTTTACTTTTAGCTTAGTTAGTCCTATTGAAATCAAACGCAGCATGGATTTAAGTGATTGTGGTTTAAAGCCTGGGTAAGCACAAGGATGAATCCACGGAGGAGGTGGCCTTTTGTGAGCCATTTTAAGGGAAATATTTGAGGTCAGTGTACAGGTGGTTGTGTCAGTGCTGGGTTTTTCTCCACCAGAAATCTTCAGTTTTGTGTCAGGCTGTGGGAGTGGTAACGTGCAGATGGTGATGGTTTACAGAATCATCACTTTATGGGCAGCAGGAAGTGTGTGAAAAAGGCTGGAATTAAAAACCTTAATAAGAAAAGAAGCAAATTAGGTTAATGCAGTGACTTGTTTCTATTCCCTTCCCAACAGAACCTTCGGGGATTTTTGTGAAAAGTATCATACCTGGGAGTGCTGCTGACCACAATGGCCAAATTCATGTTCATGACAAAATTGTTGCTGTAAGTGGAATATTCTGCTTATATATTGCTGTAGAGCTAATACATTTCACATCTCTGTTAAAAGAACAACATAGTAAAGACTTTCTAAAATTAATTAAACCTCCTCTGCTTTGCAGAAGAAATAATTTGGAGGTTTGTGTTTGTTTAGGTAGGCTTGTGACAGAAATGAGCTTTGGCTTGCTGTGGTTAAAGTATTATTTTATATTCAAAGAAATAGTAAATAGTAGTTAACTGTGAAAGAGGCAAGCATTTGGATTAAAGTGTTTCAGAGTGGAGAATCTTGGCTTTTGGCCTGCAGTAAAGATGAGCAGCATTAACTTCTACTTGAATTGAATGGGACTCGAGGATTGTTAAGATTCTGCAAGATGTGGCACATTGTTTGTGTTCCTTAATGGCTCTGGAGTGTGGATACAATCAAAATGTTAATGGTCACAATTTAGGTTTAAAAGCCCAAGCTTTATGTGTAGAAAAATGGAAAAACCATTGAATAACAGTGAATTGAATAATAGCCAATTTTGCATTCACAGCACAAGCAGGAATGAATTCCACAGTCTTTTTGTTTTAAGAGATAATATTTATAGAGATATGATTTTAAATTACTTCTAAAATGTGTGCCATGCCAGACCTTCCAAAGTCAGCTTCTCCTCTGTGGGAGCAAAAATTAATATAACCTTTTATCTGCAGGAAAGGCCCTATTGGTGCATGGTCTCACAGTGAGCTGAACAGAGTATTTTGGGTGCAAATTAAAAAATCTGATAATGTAAGAATTGGGCTGTTTAGGGGGGATTATACAGACAGTTGTTTGTAGAGGCTTGTGTGGGGCATGTTAGAAATCCCTGAGAAAACCAGCAGTGATAATGAACTGAACAGAGTTCCAGGTTGGATACTCTGCTTGGAACCTTCATCCACAGTCCTTGTCAAGCTGGTTTTGGTAAGCAAAACAAAAAAAAATTAGGGAAAAATCTGTGCATACTTGTATCAGATTAGTAAATTCTGTTTTGTGATTGTCCCCACGAAAACAGAAAGAAGAAATTACTGCTGTGTTTCCTTTTAGAATGCATTTTGGAAATAAATTCTCATCAGTGAAATGTAACAGATTTAATGAGATTTTTTTGCAAATACTGCTGTCTTGGGAGAGTAGCCCTGTAATTCCTGCACTAAATAACGTGGCTGTTGCTTACAGCCTGTGATACTCCACAGCACAGCCTGAGAATGCAGCACAATTGCTGTGATTTGGTACAATTTTCTTGTTTCAGGTTGATGGAGTCAACATAGAGGGTTTTAGCAACCAAGAGGTGGTGGAGGCGCTGCGGAACACGGGGCAGGCTGTGCGGCTCACCTTGCTGAGAAGGAGACCTTCCTTTGCTCTTCCCTCAGAAGCACCTTCAGGGAGAGGTAATTCTGGTGTTCTAGCCACTGATTTCATTTTTCACTCAGTTTGCAGTTACCTCATTTAACAGTTCAGGATTGGATGCCGCACGATCCTCAGTTTTTTTTAATGGTGCACTGTGGAAAATGAAGATGCTTAAAGGAGGAATGGAAAGAAACTAAAATGAGGAAAATTCAATGCAAAACTTCTGTGTAGTCACCCCACCAAAAAAAAAGAAGGAATTAGTGAGCTGATGTTACTACTTGCTTTATTTTGCAGCATATGATTTGGGTTTTTTTAATCTGATTTTAGAGTGCAGCCATTTGTTCCAATCTTTGTAGGGCCTGAAATTAGTGTGGCCCCTAGGAATGATGGAAAGCAAGAAGAGAAGGATAATCTTCACAATGAAAAGCAGCAGAGTCTGCATCAAGCAGGTAGATAGGGCACCTTGCAGTGCCTCTTCTGGGTCTGGTTAAAGGCTACCCTAGTAAATCCATTTTCAACACTGATGGGTTGGCTCAAAATATCTTTCTGAAGTAAAGATCTACCTCTTGGATCTGACCAACTCTTTCCACAGTCCACAGGTCTGCTGGGAGTGGGTTCTGTGATATCTCAGGGTCTGTAATTCTCTGGATCTTCTTCTTTGCATAAAATTTGTGTTTTTCCAGGCAGCAGTGGTCTCTTTGTTTAGAGAGGGAATTTTTAAGGATACAGTCAGTGGAGGTGCAGTTCTTTTGCTACTCAGGAGTGACTCTCATCAACTCTGCGGAGCTGAAAGCCTCCAGCTCAGGGATTCCTCTTTGTGCTCCTGGTCCTGCACTGGTGACCTGAGGTGTGCAGTTTTCTCCTGGGAGAAATTTTATTTATCATCCTCCTCTGCTGCCTGCTGGGCCTGCTGGGTGAGCAGCACCACGAGATGGACCTGCAGGGAATTCAGATTTATTTCCTGATCAGTGTTACCTCAGTCATACCCATCTTCAATAATCTTAGAGATCTTTTCCTGCCCTAATGATTCTGTGATCTTTCTGCCCTCACACATCTTAAGACTCCTGCAGAGTATTTTCATAATATTCTTCTGGTTTTCATCATCTCTGTTCATGCTGCAGTTTCCTCTCTTGGCACTGCAGTAGCTTCATCAGAACTCGTGTTTTGGGCATAAAGACCCAATAGCTGGAGTTCAGAAAAGGCATTTTTTGAGCAAATGGCATTCAGGCATAGGGGCAGGTCACAAAGGCATGGGCTGCTCGGGGGTTTGGCTGACTTTGGCTGCAGGTCTTTCCAGAACCTTCCATTCCCCCACAGATTTCTGGGCTCCTCTACAGGAATTCTGGGTGAATTTATACAGCTTGTGTTAAAGTCAGCATAAATTATCCTTATGCCTTGTAGTTTCTGAGACATGTAGATGTAATAGAGGATTCTGAATTACGGCTGTCAATGAATAGCAATTTTGCTGTGATTGTTGAAGATCTGTCAGTATTAAAGACAACCTGGAAACGAGAGAAATGTAGCAGTTCCTATATTCCATTCTGTTTTACTTTTCTGTCCAAGCCTTGTAACCAGACATCCTTTGTTGTGACTTTTGCGTGTTCCCAGAAATAGGAAGCCAGAACAGAGGTGGTTGAGTAGCTGAGAGTTGAGGTTCTCAAGCATTGTTTTGCTATGACAGAGGCTGGAAAAGAGCAGCACTTTGTCTGTCCTGTGTCACTTACCCATTTTTTTTACCGTGTGACTTCTATGCATATTTTACTCAGAAATACGATGTATGAGATTTCACCTTGGAACAGAGTTTAATGGCCAAGTAAATTCCAAGAGTTTAAATTCCAAGGATAGGTGCTTATTTTGGATGTGGTGATGGGCACTTCATTATAATGGTGCTAAAGTAAATACTGCTAATTTAAGGCTCTGACTAAACTCTGGAAATGCTTTTAGAAGTTTAATGCGAAAGGTATGTTTTATAAAACGCGTATTACTTCCCTTTAAGCCCATTTGTGTGAAATTCTTATTAAATTGTGTTTCCTGGGGAGGTATTAAACACTAATTCTGGCCAGGCAAAGCCATGCTGAAGCAGTTCTGGTACAAAGGCAGCAGGGTTTGGGCTGCAATGTGCATGAGCTGAAACTCAGAGCTAGCAGAGTGCAGGCAATGAATTTACCAGCTGCAGATTCTGCAAGGCTGCAGAATGGGCAGAACTGCTCCATCCTGCCTTGCAGAAGCTCTCAGAACCCAGAAGGGACAATGCTGGCAGTCAGGAGCTTAAGAGATACCTGGGGAAAAAGCCCCAGCGGCAGGGCAGGTAAAGGAAGGGCTTTAATGAAAAGCACCCTTGTGTAGTAACTTTGTGAGAGCAAGAGGAAGCTGTGAGAAAAAAAGACCCCGGTTTTGAAGAAGCTGACAGTTTTGACCAGAAAAGATGATTTTTACAATAGGTTTGTGGTTTCTGCTTTGTGCTTGCTAATTAGAAATGAAAAACTGCCTGGGAGCGCAGGCAGAAGGACAGGCTAAATATGCTGGGAAGTTGTTGCTAATGAAAGCTGTCCCTGGAAGTGTTTTCATTTCTGAGGCCTTGCACATTATAGAAGACATGGTACATATGTTAGGTCATGAGGAATTCAGCTGGATGAGAGACTAGAAAGAAATTTCCTATTAGCTGCCATGTGGAAAAAGCTGTTGGGGAAAAAAGGAACATTGTAAGTGAATTGAGTGATGCCACTGGAATTGAATATATTCAATCCAAATCCCTTCAGCCCACATTTCCACAGTCCTAAGGAAGTCACAAGCAGAGACTTCAGAGTGTATTTGAAAGAAAGAAAAGGGAAAACTTCAAATGGAGATGTGCATCAGCACCTGCTCTGAACAACTTGCAGATTTTGGTAATGCGTTTTGGAAGTGACAAAAAAAATCTGTATGCAGCCAGCTGAATGCAGCTTACAGTTGCTGAACTGAACTTTGAGCTTGACCCTGAGATTCATTACTCCTGGTGAACCTTGAAATCTATATTTGGCTGCACAGTGGATTTCAGGTGCTGTGTGTTCACACTGTTGTAACTCTGTAATAGCAGAAAAAGAGACTCAGGAATTTCTGCCCCTCTGTTTTTCTGCAGATGGAAGGAGCAGAAGAATGCACTGGTGTTCTGGTTTTGTTACAGCTCAGAAGTAAAGACAGTGTGCTTGATCATAAGTCACACATTAGAAACTTTAATTTTTAATGAAGTTAAAAACCCTTAACTAGCAGATGAGAATTTTAGCACAATTGGTCTTCCCATTACTTTTTAAGGAGATTATTTCAGAGACAACTGTGGGCTATATTTACAAACCCAAGTTTTTAATCTTGGTGGGGTGTCGTTTTGGTAGCAGAAAATAGTTATCAGGATTTCTGGAATTCTCAGATATCTGTGTCTGCTTGAGCCTGTAGGTTGAAAGTCCTCTGGGTATTTCCAAGTGACCCCTCAGTTTTTAGGCTCTGAGCAAGGGTGGTTTCTCAGACAGAATTTGCCTGTCTGGCATGGCTGAAAGTGAGCTGGAGAGAACAGAGGTGGGCTGTGCTGGCATAGAAGTAAACTCCAATCTTTGTTTTTATTGAGTGGAAAACTTCAAAGTTAGAAGTGTGTAATGAGGATTGTATTGCAGAGCTCTGTCTTTGCAGTCTGCAGAGGTGCTGAAGGCAGAGGCAGCCTGACAATGCCATTTGTGCAGGGTTTTGCTCTTGCTGGGCTCTGAGCTCCTCGTGGTGTCCTCACAGTTCCCCCAGGGAGTATTTTACTCACTGGTTGTGTGCAGAGCCTGAGTTGTGCTTTACATTCTAAATTTCAGGGCGACGCAGCAGCAACACTGAGTGGTCTGTGCCTTGTCTAGACATCTGACAAACTACTGAAGTCATTCGGGGGGGAAAAAAAAACCTCCTAGTTTTTGGTAATTCGGCCCCCAGATGCTGCTGCTGTCGCTGCTGGATGGAATTTGCTGTAGAGCTTGATTCTTACCAGTCACACATTGCTCCAGCTTGGAACTTTATATGTGAGCTGAGCTTCTGGCTGAGGTCAAACACGGGGCAGCCAGTCATTTTCTGCTGTCTAGCTCTGTCAAATTGTCTTACAGGACTGTAACCAACTGCCTTGGTTGCATAAGTAAGAAAGCTGAAAAGATATAAATGTCAAGATAGCCAAGTTCCCACGGAAGACTGGTTCAGAACTGGAGCTTATATTAAAGCTCATGTTACTTACTGGCCTAATTAAAGCAGACAAGGCTTCATACCTGCCAAATGTATAAATAAAGTCTGTGCCTGCATTGTGCTGACACAGCCCCTCGATAACAGCAGTATCTTGTCAGGTGTTTTCCTTCTTCAGGGGGCTCGTTTGGGTGGGAGATGATGATTCCCTGGAGTGGGGAAGCGTTTTTACGGCAACAAACGATGAAGTCGTGTGAAATTTGTTTTGCAGCCTGAAAGAATGATTTATTTACAGTGCTGCATGGTACAGAACTCACATCTCATCACCAAGCATCACCTCTTCTGCCTCTCAGCTGAATAAATCACACTTTTACAGGAGCTGACATTTTGCATTGTTTTCCTAAGAAAGACATTTTTGATTTGCGCTGTTTGATAGACTCGGCTTAATGCGCTTCCCTTTTGGGGATTATTCCCTCTAATCTTTTATTTACACTGAATTTTTATTGGAGTATTTAGAAGTAAATGTACTTCTGAATGTACAATATGCTTGTAAATTTAATATTCACTTTCATACTTAGGAAGAGTCCCACTCCCTCCAGCACATGAGCTGAAATCCAAATGGGAAAACCTGCTGGGACCAGAATACGAAGTTATGGTATGTTTTATTTCAATAAACTACATTCATGAATGTTATTTCTTTAAATTACAGATCTGTGAGCTTAGCATCACAGGCTGTTTATAGAACAGTTCAGTGTTTGGAACAGATCAGTAACATCACATTTTCTTCCCTGTAACATCAGGGCTGAAATGTATGTTATAATGAGTTGGGGGATGTGTTGCCCTTTTATTTTATTCTGTTTATATAGATATTATTGTTATACAAATACGAGACAGGAACAGTGATTTAAGGAAATCAGCTGTCCTGTTAAATCTGCATCACAGGAGCCACTTAAAATATATGGCATTTTTATTATTTCATTCATGATCTATTTGTTTTACTGGGCACTGAATAATAAAAGGGCTCGGGATAGAGCTTCCGTTTTCAGAAGAATCTTACAATTTTATCTGAAGAATGAAAGAATGATTTTCAAACATGCTGGGAAAATACAAAGTAATTCTCAATGGTGTATAACTTTGTGGTGCCAGTGTCTAGTAGATGTTTCTTCACTTCCTATTAAATAATTGCCTAGCAAAAGATTGTTTTGATGAATTGTCACGAGGAGTTGATGGAAATCGTAATTCACTTGTGCTTTTCAGTACAGATAAAAGACTCGGGACAGCGTTCTTCCCAATGCCTTAAAAAATTCTCACCACCACCAAGAAAATGCCCTGTTTGTCTTTGCAATGCTTGTCCGGTTGATTTAGAGACACTTATTTTTACTACTTGGAGTAGCCATCGTTGCAGTCACTCTCTGGGAGATTTAAAGTAGCTTTAAGAGTTGCCTTGAGAAACTCGCTTCCCCTGCTTCCATTAGCGCTCCTTTAAGATCTGGAGCCCGTGTGAGATTATGTACATGATGCAATAAATCTGCTTGGCTGCCCACTTCAGTTGCTTGCTATTCCCACCCTTACATTTCCAGGGGTTGCTATTACCTCCCTGAGCACCATCACACTTCCCAGGGAGGATGAAATCCTGCTTGCTTGGTGATTCCAACCATTCCAAATGCTCCTCCAGCCCCGCTGGTGAAATGTCAGCAGTGACAATGTTAACCATGGGGGTTAACGTTTCAGTGATAGAAAGGAGCTCCATCATATCACAAACTCTTCAGTGACAGAAGGGAGCTCTCCTGCCATCCCATTCTGAAAGTAATTTTTTGGTTCTGTTTGCCTGTGCCTGCCTCCTGTGTTGAGCAGCAATGTCCAGTTTGAGTGCCACCCCAGTCCCTGTGTCACACCATCCTCATTAAGCCCCCTGAACTAAGGTGCCTACAGAGTTCTCTCAGGAATATTTATCTTGGGAGAAAATAGCTGTTTGTAGAGAGGGGTTGGTGGCCCTGGTCCCTTCTGGTCCTTTTTGGTGCAATGGAAGGAGCTGAGATCCTGAGCAGGAGCCGTGTGATGTCAGGCTGAGGAGCTGCCAGTCATAAATCCATTCAGTTACATGCATGGACATGAAATGGGTCCTGTCTGTCAGAAAAAACACCCTGAGTGCTGCCAAACAACATGCTGTTTAAACAACTGTTTAAAACTAATCCAAAAGAAAAGTCTAATCTTTATTAAACTAGAAGTTTTCAAAGAAACATTACCTGATTTTTTGCAAGGCTCTGGTTTTTTTTTTTTTTCAGATCTATCAAGTGTAGCTTTCCTTTTAAACATTCAACTTCAGTGTCCCAGATTCCAGCCCTAGATTGGGACTAAATGATCTTTAAGATCTCTTCCAACCCAAACCATGCTATGATTTTGTCTTAATTACATTTAAAATTGAAGTAAATAACCTTCTAATATTACAGATAAATCTGTTAAGGAGGGACAGTACAAGAAAACTGGTGGTGAGCGTAGTCATTTTATTAATCTTTAAAAAAAGACACTGAAAGGATTTCCTGTCCCTGGTTTAAATAACCCACTTTCCATTCCCATTTGGTAATTAAAGTTATGCATTTCAAGCCAGAAGTTGGTGGTTAGTCTGGATGGGAGATGGCTGCACTATAGCCTGAGGTAACAACTTAAGCTGTCATACTTTCAAATTCTGACTGGCAAGGCCGTGTGGGTATTTGTGTCAAACATAATGGCATTTTGTGCTTACACAGGATTACTGAACTTGACTAAAATTGGCATTTGGGCTCCAGGAATAGGATAATATTGGAGTCTGCTAATGGTGCATAATCACCACATTCCTACTTGGAAATGTTCTGTGCCTGAAAGATTTTTCTAACATTTGTTTAAAATTATTTTGCATCAATGTGACATTGTTTAAGTACAGTTTATTTTACTCATGAGTTGGGGTTTTTTTGCCAGAATTTCATCGTTCTGGTAAAGCCTTTATTGTCCCGCTGTTGAAAAATGTTCTGATGTCCAATTTTTAGGTTGTGAATGTGGATATGCCCTTTAAAGACGACTCAGAGCTCCAGAAGTACTCAAAGGTAGGGCTTGCATGGTGGTTTCCTTCCTGGTGTATGTTGGCACAGTAATCCTGGGAGGGCAGGACACAATTCCAGATGTGGCTCAGGAATTCAATGGTTTTGTGGCTCTGTATTTTCCAAAAAAAGGCTGCCAATATTCTGCTTATCTCCTGGACTGATCCAATACCTTTCCATAGCACGGGCAAATGAACCTTTTAACAGTTCATTACCAAACCCCCAAGCAACAAAATACACCCTCAAACCCTGAATTTTGGGGTATTTAATTGCACAGAATAAAGCAGAGGTTGAAACTCTGAACAACTTTTTTGTCCCACAGAGGATTTTGCTGTAGTGATCCTGGCTCAGACAAAGGGATGTGTCAATTCATTTAAATTGTCAGATCTTAAATGAATTTCACTTCCAAGAGATTTTCAAGATCCCTGTGTTAATATTGTGGAGAAGAGGTTTTTAGAGGTGATGCATTTCTGTATTTGTGGGGACACCTCAGTGGGGAAGGGCCAAAAAGTCATGGTCGGGCATGGCTCTGAAGGAATGCTGTGGATCAGTGGATTGCTCCTTTTATTTGAATGTCCATAATATTTTGGGAAGCAGGACAGTTCAGTGTTTGAACTCCAGTAATAAAAAGCCAGAAAATGTCCAAACTGAAGGAGCAGCTCCTGCTGATCTTCTCTCCTCCCCAGGTTACCATGATTTCTCCTGCCTTTTCTGGATAGTGTATCACTTTTATTCTACTTTTCCTGATATTAGCAGACTTAAGGCACTGAGGGTTGGAGTTTCCCTAGAGAAAAATTCCAAATTAGGGAGTCCCAGTGGGAAAAGGCTGACACAAAATCAGTGATTTCCCCTTGCAGAAAAAAGGATATCAGTTTTAGTAACTACTTACAGAGGACACTTCAGGGATATTTTTTCTGCCTCAAAGTAGTGTAGCTCCCAGAGGAGTAAGACAGCTGCAGTTGTGGTGAGATTTTAAGGCAATTATGGAATTTATTTTACTCCTTTATTTATTTCTATTTCTTTTATTTTTGTTTTGCTCCCGCCCCATGGAAGAGAGGTGGGAACTGGATGATGTTTAAGGTCCCTTCCAACCCAAACCATTCTGTGATTTGTTGACAGCTCACCTTTTGGGTGTTACTCCTCTCTTTGTGTTTTTCCTATTAAGTTTAATTATTTGAGAATACAGTTCAAATTGCTTTTTCCCCCAAGGAACAGACTGGTTGTTTTTATTTGTGCAAACAGTTTGCAAAGAGAAGTTATGGACAGTAACACAGGAGAGGTCACTGCGAACATTTAATCATCTTGGTTCCATTTGGTGAGCTGCTGAATCCTAAATCTGTTTTTATCCTGGTAGATAAAGATTTAGACTTAAATACATATTTATATTTATCTTTTGGCAGCTGTTACCCATCCACACTCTGAGATTGGGAGTTGAGCTGGACACTTTTGATGGACATCATTATATCTCATCCATTGCTTCAGATGGCCCAGCTGCAGCTCTTGGTCTTCTGCAACTGGAGGATGAACTTCTGGAGGTAAAAAAATAAAACAAAAAATAAAAATTATATATTTCCTGTTTGTTTAGCCTTCTTAAAATTCTTCTCTTCAGTTCTAGCTTGGCTGCTGTGTGTGCAATAGAATTATTCCAGATTAGTTGTGGAAGCAGAGCTTTGCTTTGGATTTCACATTCATTGTCCTCACTGTTCCCTTCAACATTTATGGAAAAAATGTCAAATTCTTGTGACCTCTCAGTGACTTCATGGGTATTTTTTTCTGAAATGTTTTAATATCAGTGTCAAGAGTTACAAGGGCAGGGATAATATTTGTGTTGAATTATTTGTGGTGCTGTGGCTTTAGCTTTTGTGGTGGATAATCTTTCTGAATATTTCTCACCCCTAAAACATTTACAGCAGTCTTAGGAACAGTGGTTTCAGTTACACAATAAAACTTTTTTTTTGTGGAGTAGTGAAAGATATTTGTGTGTATGAGCAAACACTTCAGTTTGTTTAGATGTGTGTAAGGAGGTATTGGGGCAGCTTTGGAGTTATCACAGTCACACCAGACGTATTTTCTCAGAAAAGTAATGATTTTATAAAATTAAAATAATTCCTATTTGTGTGTGTGTACATGTGTCCATTGGTATCTCAGCCTGCAAGTGAAAAGACATTAATTTCTTATTGCATGCTTACTCCTTGTGGAATATTTTGATATTGGAGCCTTTTTTTAGTGCATGCAAAGAACATTTAATGGAAACAGAATTAGGCCTTCTGAAAGATTGATTTGTTAGGTGTACAGCTATTCTGCTTTTACTTCTTCACCCCCTAACATCAAAAATTCATACTGATATCACTGAGACCTAAAACATTTTCTTATTGCTTAATGGAGGAAACCTTGATTCCTGAAGGAAGGGATTAATGGAATGCTGGAAGTGTCATTTAAATTGCTTGGCCACTAAACAAAAAAAAAAAAAATTATAGAAAAAGCAATAATGCAGTGCTGTAGAGTAACTTAGGAAACTTTAATTGTGTATATTTAACAGTTTTATGTATTACTCTGTACTCGGAATTAAGTTCACAGGTATGCCCAGACCTAGTGAGTGTAAATTTTTTGCTGCTCTGGAGTTGGGGAAAAAAACCCCAAGAAAATAAAAATGTGCTCTGGGGCTAAAGCTGTAAGTGCCAGGTTTAGCCCAAACTGTATTTTTGCAGCCAAGTTATAAATCCCCTTAAATAGGGGTTTGCAGTGGAAAAAGTGACAGCCCATTCCCCAAACAAGCAGCCTTACCTGGCCCTGATACATTTGGTATTAAAATATGATCAGCAAAGATTTTCTTTATTTCTTTTTTTCAATGTACAGCTGAATGAATGTTGATTATTTTTAATGATGTGTTTGAATTATGACAGACAGCACAATGCCCCTCCCCTGCCCTTCATTTCAGCTAATTCCACTGTGTTCTTTTTGAGGAGTAAATTGCTTTTTTTGTGCCCTTTTGTTGTGGCATCTCCCTGCTGTTTGAGCGCTGATGTGCTGGATGGGTGGGTGTAGGGCCCCTTGCCTGCTCAGGAGGAGAAATGGGAGTCCCCAGGTGTGCTGGGGGTGCTCAGCAGCTCTTCCCCATCCATCACAGGGTGCTGAGAAGCGCTGGGAGCTTTCCACCACGCTGCCACTCTCCAGGCATTAAAAAATCCTTACGTGCGGATCCTTCTGCTTAAATAATTAACTAATGGACGAGGCTGATAGCTCAGCACTTGCTGTAATTCTTGCAGAAGCAGCCCAGAGCAGTTTGTCTTGCCGTGGTGGAGGCCAGCTCCACCACTCTGAGTTTTTCTGCTTGGCTGGGATGTGGAGTGGGAGAGGAGCTCCGTGGTTCCCAGCAGCCCAAACTGTATTGACACTGCAAGAAGCACAGAGTGGGGGGGAAAATAGAAGTGATCAGGAAAAAATAGAAGTGATCAGGAAAAAAATAGAAGTGATCAGGAAAAAATAGAAGTGATCAGGAAAAAATAGAAGTGATCAGGAAAAAATAGAAATGATCAGGAAAAAATAGAA